GAACCTTAACTTTGGAGGTGGCTGAAGATCTCCATGGTGGTGGGATGACCATGATGACCTACCTGGAGATCGTTCTGGGGGTTCCAGTCGGAGTCGAAGATGATGCAGGTGTCTGCAGCCGTCAGGTTGATGCCCAGGCCACCGGCGCGGGTGCACAGGAGAAAGACGAAGCGGTCGGAGTCGGCCTTGCTGAAGCGGTCGATGGCCGCCTGGCGGAGGTTCCCGCGGACACGCCCGTCGATCCGCTCGTACAGGTACCTGAGGGGGGACAGGACAAGTGGGGTGGAGGTGGATGAGGAGGACTATGGTCCTGGAGAAGGTCTTTGAGGAGAACTTCTTCCAGAAGAAAGAACTTCCAGAAGTTCTTCAAGAAGAACAAGTTACCTTCCAGAAGAAGACCTTCCAGAAGAAGACCTTCCAGAAGAAAGACCTTCCAGAAGAAGACCTTCCAGAAGAAGACCTTCCAGAAGAAAGACCTTCCAGAAGAAGACCTTCCAGAAGAAGACCTTCCAGAAGAAAGACCTTCCAGAAGAAGACCTTCCAGAAGAAGACCTTCCAGAAGAAAGACCTTCCAGAAGAAGACCTTCCAGAAGAAGACCTTCCAGAAGAAAGACCTTCCAGAAGAAGACCTTCCAGAAGAAGACCTTCCAGAAGAAAGACCTTCCAGAAGAAGACCTTCCAGAAGAAGACCTTCCAGAAGAAAGACCTTCCAGAAGAAGACCTTCCAGAAGAAGACCTTCCAGAAGAAAGACCTTCCAGAAGAAGACCTTCCAGAAGAAGACCTTCCAGAAGAAAGACCTTCCAGAAGAAGACCTTCCAGAAGAAGACCTTCCAGAAGAAAGACCTTCCAGAAGAAGACCTTCCAGAAGAAGACCTTCCAGAAGAAAGACCTTCCAGAAGAAGACTTCCAGAAGAAAGAACTTCCAGAAGAAAGACCTTCCAGAAGAACTTTGAGAAGTTCAAGAAGAGCTTCTTTGAGAAGAGCTTCCAGAAGAAAAAACTTCTTCAAGACAAGAACTTCAACAAGTTCAAGAAAAACTTCTTTGAGAAGAGCTCCCAGGAGAAAGAACTTCAGGAAGAACTTCAAGACAGAGAACTTCTTCAAGAAGAACTTTGAGAACTTCAAGAAGAACTTCTTCAAGAAGAGCTCCCAGAAGAACTCCCAAGAAGAACTTCCAGAAGAACTTTGAGAAGAATTTCTTCAAGAAGAACTTCTTTGAGAAGAGCTTCCAGAAGAAATAACTTCTTCAGGAAGAAGAACTTCAAGAGCTTCTTCAGGAAGAAAGAACTTCTTCAAGAAGAATTTCAAGAAGAGCTCCCAGAAGAAGAGCTTCTTCCAGAAGAACTTCAAGAACTTCAAGAAGAACTTCAAGAAGAACTTCTTCAAGAAGAACTTTGAGAAGAGCTTCTCCCAGAAGAACTTTGAGAAGAGCTTCTTCCAGAAGAAGAACTTCAAGAAGAGCTTCTTCAAGAAAGAACTTCTTCAAGAAGAAGAATTTCCAGAAGAACTTCTTCAAGAAGAACTTCCAGAAGAAAGAACTTCTTTAAGAAGAACTTCAAGAAGAACTTCTTCAAGAAGAACTTCCAGAAGAAAGAACTTCTTTAAGAAGAACTTCAAGAAGAACTTCTTCAAGAAGAACTTCCAGAAGAAAGAACTTCTTTAAGAAGAACTTCAAGAAGAACTTCTTCAAGAAGAGCTCCCAGAAGAACTCCCAAGAAGAACTTCAAGAACTTCAAGAAGAACTTCCAGAAGAAAGAACTTCTTTAAGAAGAACTTCAAGAAGAACTTCTTCAAGAAGAGCTCCCAGAAGAACTCCCAAGAAGAACTTCAAGAACTTCAAGAAGAACTTCCAGAAGAAAGAACTTCTTTAAGAAGAACTTCAAGAAGAACTTCTTCAAGAAGAGCTCCCAGAAGAACTCCCAAGAAGAACTTCAAGAACTTCAAGAAGAACTTCCAGAAGAAAGAACTTCTTTAAGAAGAACTTCAAGAAGAACTTCTTCAAGAAGAGCTCCCAGAAGAACTCCCAAGAAGAACTTCAAGAACTTCAAGAAGAACTTCCAGAAGAAAGAACTTCTTTAAGAAGAACTTCAAGAAGAACTTCTTCAAGAAGAGCTCCCAGAAGAACTCCCAAGAAGAACTTCAAGAACTTCAAGAAGAACTTCCAGAAGAAGAACTTCCAGAAGAACTTCAACAAGTTCAAGAAAAACTTCTTTGAGAAGAGCTCCCAGGAGAAAGAACTTCAGGAAGAACTTCAAGACAGAGAACTTCTTCAAGAAGAACTTTGAGAACTTCTAGAAGAACTTCTTCAAGAAGAGCTCCCAGAAGAAGAACTTCAAGAGGAACTTCCAGAAGAAGAACTTCTTCCAGGAGACTTCCAGGAGAAGAACTTCCAGGAGAAGAACTTCTTCCAGAAGAGTTTCCAGAAGAAAGAACTTCAAGAAGAAGTTCTTCCAAAAGTTCCTCAAGAAGAACTTCAAAACAAGAAGAACTTCTTCAAGACAAGAAGAACTTCAAGAAGAAGACGACCTTCTTTGAGAAGAACTTGGAGAACTTCTTCAAGAAGAGCTTCCAGAAGTTCAAGAAGTTCAACAACTTCTTCAAAGAAGAGCTTCCAGCACAAGAAGTCCTTCAAGAAGAACTTCCAGAAGAAAGACCTTCCAGAAGAAAGACCTTCCAGAAGAAAGACCTTCCAGAAGAAAGACCTTCCAGAAGAAAGACCTTCCAGAAGAAAGACCTTCAAGAAAAAAGACCTTCCAGAAGAAAGACCTTCCAGAAGAAAGACCTTCCAGAAGAAAGACCTTCCAGAAGAACATCAAGGTCCTCCTTGCCCACCCACCACCTCCCAACCATCTCACCTTTTCTGGATAAGGTAGTCCTCCAAGATATCGAGACATCGAACCATCTGGGAGAAGATGAGGACTTTGTGGCCACCAGCTTTCAACTTGGGCAGAAGTTTATCGATGAGGACCAACTTCCCGGCCGAACGGACCATGGCTTGGAGATGGAAATCGTGAGGGACGTGGTGGTGACATGACTCACGGAATTCAGCCAAGATCTTCTCCTCTGCACCTGGTGGGGGGTGAGGACAATCAAGTGAGACCTCAGGAGATGCTCCACTCAACCTTCAAACTCTTGAGGAACATCTAAAAACATCTAGATAAGGTTGGAGAACCATCTCCACCATGAAGTCCACCTCACTTGGTGACTCTACAGCCCTTGAGGAACATCAACCTCAACTTCCTGAAGCCACCAAACCTTGAAGAACCAAAAGGACCAACCTAGAAGACATAACTATGGCTTGATATTGACCATGAGAAGATTGTCCACCCCATGAGAAGACAATGGGCCATCTTGGTTCCTCACCGTTGATGAGATAAGGGTGGTTACAACACTTCCGAAGCTCCATCATGGTGTTGAGAAGGTTGGGCATGTTGGTGTGACCCACCCCTTTGGAGAGGAAGGAGAAGTTCTTCTCCAAGATGGCGCGATAATACTTCTTCTGGATGTTGGTCAGTTCCACCTCGATGATGGTCTCTTGTTTTGGAGCCAAGTTCTTCTCCACGTCTTCTTTCAACCGACGTAACATCATGGGTTTGAGGATGGCCTGGAGCTTCTGGACCTGGGAGGGAGGAGGAGAAGACATCAGCAAATCATGGAGAACCCAAAGGAACCCAGAAGAACCCAGAAGAACCTCTGAGGAACCCATGAGGAACCCATGGAGAACCCATGGAGAACCTCTGAGGAACCCAAGAGGAAATCTAAAAACATCTAGATAAGCTTGGAGAACCATCTCCACCATGAAGTCCACCTCACTTGGTGGCTCTACAAAGCTTGAGGAACATCAAGAGATGCTCCACTCAACCTTCAAGATCTCGAGGAACATCTAAAGACATCTAAATAAGGTTGGAGAACCACCTCCACCATCCAAGAGGAACCCATGGAGAACCCAAGAAGAACCCAAGAGGAACCCATGGAGAACCCAAGAAGAACCCAAGAGGAACCCATGGAGAACCCAAGAAGAACCCAAGAGGAACCCATGGAGAACCCAAGAAGAACCCAAGAGGAACCCATGGAGAACCCAAGAAGAACCCAAGAGGAACCCATGGAGAACCCAAGAAGAACCCAAGAGGAACCCATGGAGAACCCAAGAAGAACCCAAGAGGAACCCATGGAGAACCCAAGAAGAACCCAAGAGGAACCCATGGAGAACCCAAGAAGAACCCAAGAGGAACCCATGGAGAACCTCTGAGGAACCCATGGAGAAACCAAAACCCATGAGGAACCCAAGAGGAACCCATGGAGAACCCAAGAAGAACCCAAGAGGAACCCATGGAGAACCTCTGAGGAACCCAAGAGGAACCCATGGAGAACCCAAGAGGAACCCATGGAGAACCTCTGAGGAACCCATGGAGAAAGGAACCCAAGAGGAACCCATGGAGAACCCATGGAGAACCCCTGAGGAACCAAACTTTGAGGTTCTCCAGATCTTCTCACCTGTTCCTCAGTCTTTAGATCTCCAAAGTCCTTGAGGAACTCGGCTTCAGAAGGAAACTGAGAAGGTTCCAAGAAGTGGAGAAGACTGAAGAGTTCTTCCACCGTGTTCTGGAGCGGAGTACCCGTCAAGAGGACTTTGTGTTCCTGAAGGACCAAGAAAAGGTGGAGAATGTTAGGTCAAGTAGAATAGCAGGCCCATAAACATCTCCAGATGCCACCAAGACCCCCCAAAAACCACCTTGAGGACCATTCTTGGTGTGTGGAACATCTCCAAACATCTCCAAATCCCACCAAAAACCACCTTGAGGACCATCTCCATGGAGACAAGTTGAACCCAAGTGTCCTCAGATGCCACCAAGACCCCAAGACCACCTTGAGGACCATCTCCATGGAGACAAGTTGAACCCAAGTGTCCTCAGATGCCACCAAGACCCCAAGACCACCTTGAGGACCATCTCCATGGAGACAAGTTGAACCCAAGTGTCCTCAGATGCCACCAAGACCCCAAGACCACCTTGAGGACCATCTCCATGGAGACAAGTTGAACCCAAGTGTCCTCAGATGCCACCAAGACCCCAAGACCACCTTGAGGACCATCTCCATGGAGACAAGTTGAACCCAAGTGTCCTCAGATGCCACCAAGACCCCAAAACCACATCTCTTGATGTGTAGAACATCTCCCAACATCTCCAAATCCCACCAAAAACCACCTTGAGGACCATCTCCATGGAGACAAGTTGAACCCAAGTGTCCTCAGATGCCACCAAGACCCAAAGACCACCTTGAGGACCATCCCTTGGTGTGTAGAACATCTCCAAACATCTCAAAATCCCACCAAAACCCCCCAAAAACCACCTGGAGGACCACCTCTTGGTGTGTAGAACATCTCCAAACATCTCCAAATCCCACCAAAACCACCTTGAGGACCATCCCCATGACCCCAACCATCTCCAGATGCCACCAAGACCCCAAAACCACCTCTCTTGATGTGCAGAACATCTCCAAACATCTCCAAAACCCCCCAAAACCACCTTGAGGACCAACCCCATGAGCAGATGATGAACCCAAGTGTCCTCAGATGCCACCAAGACCCCAAAACCACCTCTCTTGATGTGCAGAACATCTCCAAACATCTCCAAATGCCCCCAAAACCCCCCAAAAACCACCTTGAGGACCATCCCCATGACCCCAACCATCTCCAGATGCCACCAAGACCTCAAAACCACGTCTCTTGGTGTGTAGAACATCTCCAAACATCTCCAAATGCCCCCAAAACCCCCCAAAAACCACCTTGAGGACCATCCCCATGACCCCAACCATCTCCAGATGCCACGAAGACCCCAAAACCACATCCCTTGATGTGTAGAACATCTCCAAACATCTCCAAATCCCCCCAAAACCCCCTAAAACCCCACTTTGAAGACCCTCAACTCAACCTTCTCCACTTCCCCTTTGAGGTTCTCCACATCTCCTGTCCCACCACCACCACCACCACCATCATCTCCTTACCAAATCCATATGTTTGAGACTATCCAACAATTTACAGTTGCGGTTCTTCAAGCGATGAGCTTCATCGATGATGACGCATCTCCACTCGATCTCCCGTAACTCGGGACAATCCGAAAGGATCATCTCAAAAGTGGTGATGAGACCATCAAACTTGTAGGCACCAGGGATGAGACGACCCTGAAGATGAAGATGAAGAAGAAGAAAACCAAGTAATTATGGAAGTTATGGAGATACCATCACAAAATCCATCAATTCCATCCATGAAATGATGATTGGAGAAGATCTGGAGATGTTTCTTGATGTTCCTCAAAAGTTGGAGAAGATCAAAAGCCACCCAAACCTTGGTGTCTTTGCAGTACATCTCATATTGTTGGATCATCTGTCTGGAAGCCAAACTTCCGTGGTAGACGATGGTGTTCATCTCGGTCCACGTGTTAAACTCTCGTTCCCAATTAGTGATGGTGGACAACGGAGCGATGACCAAGAATGGTCCACGAATTCCAACGTTGTAGACTTCTTCTAAAAAAGCGATGGATTGGATGGTCTTTCCTAATCCCATCTCATCGGCCAAGATACAGTTTTGTCTAGGAGAGAAGAAGACAATTTATGGTCAAAATGGTCCATAAAACTCAAAGAGAAGATAATTTAAAGATGGTGGAAACATCTCAAGATCTTCTGATCTTCTCCAAACCTGTTGTACCAGTTGAAGAGTAACCAGTTGACACCTTCTAGTTGATATTCACGCAGTTGATTGTGGTTCTTATACTCGTGGGACAACTCCAACTTCTTCCATGAACCAGCTTGTGGACGTGGCTTTGGAGAACATCAAGAAAATATGGATGACCACCATGAAAGATCCATCATGGAGAACATCTGGAGAAGGTTGAGAAGGTCTAAAAAGACTCACCAAACGTTTGAGGTCTGGATGACGAGCTTGGATACGTTTAAATTCCGTGATCTTCCCTTCGTCGACGTCTTCTTTGAGTTCCCAAGTGCTGTCCTCGTAGGGTAAGGAGCACCACTTGACCAAGTAGTAGACCACAGGCTGGAAGAGAAGATGGAGAAGGTTAAAATGGTGGACAACTTCAAAGGTTGGAGAAGGAAAGTCCATAATGACGTGAGGAGAAGGTCGAAATGGAGGTAGAACCTCAAAACGGAGGTGAGGAGAAGGTCAAAATGGAAGGAGAACCTCAAAATGGAGGTAAGGAGTAGGTTGAAATGGTGGACAACCTCAAAGGTTGGAGAAGAAGACCCCATAATGACATGAGGAGAACCCAAAATGAGGTGAGGACAACCTCAAATGGAGATGTTGATGGTGAGGAACCTCATTGTTGGAGAAGGAGACCCCATAATGACGTGAGGAGAACCTCAAAATGGAGGTAGAACCTCAAAATGGAGGTGAGGAGAAGGTCAAAATGGAAGGAGAAGCTCAAAATGGAGGTGAGGAGAAGGTGAAAATGGAGGACAACTTCAAGTGTTGGAGAAGGAAAGTCCATAATGATGTGAGGAGAAGATCAAAATGGAGGTAGAACCTCAAAATGGAGGTGAGGAGAAGGTCGAAATGGAAGGAGAACCTCAAAATGGAAGGAGAAGCTCAAAATGGAGGTGAGGAGAACCTCAAAATGGAAGGAGAACCTCAAAATGGAGGTAAGGAGAAGGTCAAAATGGTGGACAGCCTCAAGTGTTGGAGAAGGAAACTCCATAATGACGTCAGGAGAAGGTCAAAATGGAGGTAGAACCTCAAAATGGAGGTGAGGAGAAGGTCAAAATGGAAGGAGAACCTCAAAATGGAGGTGAGGAGAAGGTCAAAATGGAAGGAGAACCTCAAAATGGAGGTAAGGAGAAGGTCAAAACGGAAGGAGAACCTCAAAATGGAGGTGAGGAGAAGGTCAAAATGGAAGGAGAACCTCAAAATGGAGGTAAGGAGAAGGTCAAAACGGAAGGAGAACCTCAAAATGGAGGTGAGGAGAAGGTCAAAATGGAAGGAGAACCTCAAAATGGAGGTAAGGAGAAGGTCAAAACGGAAGGAGAACCTCAAAATGGAGGTGAGGAGAAGGTCAAAATGGAAGGAGAACCTCAAAATGGAGGTAAGGAGAAGGTCAAAACGGAAGGAGAACCTCAAAATGGAGGTGAGGAGAAGGTCAAAATGGAAGGAGAACCTCAAAATGGAGGTAAGGAGAAGGTCAAAACGGAAGGAGAACCTCAAAATGGAGGTGAGGAGAAGGTCAAAATGGAAGGAGAACCTCAAAATGGAGGTAAGGAGAAGGTCAAAACGGAAGGAGAACCTCAAAATGGAGGTGAGGAGAAGGTCAAAATGAGATGTTCATGGTGAGGAACCTCATTGTTGGAGAAGAAGACCCCATAATGACGTGAGGAGAACCTCAAAATGGAGGAACAACCTCAAAATGGAGATGTTGATGATGAGGAACATCAACGTTGACGATGAAGATCCACCACCCCCACCCCCCTCACCTCTCCATTGTCCTTGTCCACGCTGTGGGACTCATCCAAGATCCGATCGACCTCCACGTAATCGGGGTTAAAAGGTTCTTCATCCTTAGAAGGTCGAGAAGAAGACAATGAGTTGACACCAAAACCCCTTTGAGATCCACCTCGAGAACATCATGGACCTCAAATGTCTTCTCCATCCCACCCCACCCCATGGTCCCCGTCCCCCCCCCCAAAAAAAACCTCATGGAAAAAATGGCGCATCTGGGTCATCTTCGTCTTGAAACGTTTCAACTTCTGGTGGATCCTCTTGTCCTTCTCCAGTTGGTCGATGGTGGCCCACTCGCAATGAAGGTAGGAACTGGAGATGAAGAAGACATCCCACCAAAAAAAAACACCTTGAGGACCATCTCTATGGACATGGGATGGACCTAAACATCTCCAGATGCCACCAAGACCCCAAAACTACGTCTCATGGTGTGTAGAACATCTCCAAACATCTCCAAATCCCACCAAAACCACCTTGAGGACCATCCCCATGACCCCAACCATCTCCAGATGCCACCAAGACCCCAAAACCACATCTCTTGATGTGTAGAACATCTCCCAACATCTCCAAATCCCACCAAAAACCACCTTGAGGACCATCCCCCATGAGCTCAAACATCTCCAGATGCCACCAAGAGCCCAAAACCACCTTGAGGACCATCCCTTGGTGTGTGGAACATCTCCAAACATCTCCAAAACCCACCAAAACCACCTTGAGGACCATCTCTTGGAGCATGGGATGGACCCAAGTGTCCTCAGATG